AGGACACACTACTGCATCATCAGCTTGAGGGCAGAGGACTTTGACCTTGGGTCCAGTGTCCCCTGTCCGTTTTCAGCACCTGCTCCCAGCCGATCCGCAGAACTGAGCATTGACATACTTCAAGGCAAGTCGGGCCTGGGGAGGCCCTAGGCTGCCAGAAGTTCCAGACCATCCAGCACAGCCTCTGAGCAGGGGCCAGAGACCTGGGGTGTCTCATAAAGCCATGGGGGGGCGCTGCTGTGGGCCTGCATATGCTCCAGCTGGTGGGTGGGGGGCCAGGAATCAGAGGGCCTTATGCATGCTCTGGAGTGAGGGGGTCCTGGAGACGCAGTGGTTAACTCTCACCTGAACATTGGCGGTTCAAACCCACCTGGGCTCCATGGGAGGACCCCATAATCTGCTGCTGTAAAGGTTACAGCCAAGGAAACCCTGGTGGAGGGAGCGGGGAAGGGGGGAGTTTGCACTGTGTCACATGGGATCACTCTTCATCTGAATCGATCCGACAACAGCGGCTTGCATCTGAGCGCAGGAGGGGCTACGGAAAAATAAAGATTCCGATTCTCCGACACATTTGTTCATCAGAAACCCTGGCACCCGATTCCCCATAAAAAGTTCAGGCAGGCAGCGAACAGACATCGAGCATGACTGGTCATGTTGCATTAAAACCTGCTCCCAAGGGTCTTTCGTGGTGGTGACTGTAGGAGATACATACTGTTTGCAGAAGGGACCTGCCGGCTGCAGCTGGCAATCCTCCTATGAGAAAGAAGCGTGTTTGCAGCGGCATTTATCAGAGTGGCATCGGGCCTGTGGCTCGTCAAGGCCCCAAGTGGGACAGATGTCAGAACTTGGAGAAACCCTGGGCCTCAGATGTGGCATTGGACAGGATCTGGAGAGATTTGGGTTCTGTGGGAGCTGTGGAGAGAGAGAGAGTATGTGTGTTGCTTAATTCTCCTTTCTGGGTCATTGAGTCTAGCCTAGATTTCTAAGGGACTCTGAAACTACCCAGAAGTTGGGTACACCTCATCGGTGACCGGCTTAGGGACCTATCTCCGTTTGTCTCAGCCCTGGCTGCTTACGTGGAGAGAGGAGGCTGGGATCTCCAGTGGTCAGAGGAGCCTGTGGCCAGGAGTCACACCTGCCCCACCAGCGACAGCCCTCTAGGCGTCAGTGACCCCAATCTACAGACGGCAGGTAATCCTTTCAGACTTGAAACTGGACTTCCTCTCGGCTCATTGCTCTCCCCCCTAACCTGGCCGCTCCCAGACCAAGCCCACCCCAAAGGCAGGCACCCACCCTGTCCTCCGTGGGCTCTCGCCTGGGCTGAACTGGGCTTGGCAGCACTGGTGGTGGAGGTAATTAAGATTTCAACAGGCACGTCATGCAGTTTACTTAATTGTCAGCCGATAATTAACTTTCTTCCAACTTGGGGGAAATTTGGCTGCTGAGTAACACACACACACACACACACACACACACACACACACCACACACACACACACACACACACCCCACACACACACACACACACACCACCCCCACACCACCCCCAATCCCTCCTGCCTGTACTTTCCAAGAGCTGCTGGAGCTTTTAGCCCTCAGTTGGGGGAGAGGAGTCTTCAAACACCACTTGGCCACTGGATGCCAGGTGGAGGGCTAGAGCCAGTCCCAGGCATGTCTCTTGGCCGAGACTGGCTCTGAGGGAGAAGGGGCTTTTGTGACCCCTTCACCAGACCCCCCTCCAGGTCTGAGGACCTCAGACAGAGGAGGGGATAGGGCCAGCCAGCTGTGCCCTAGGGGATGCACACCACCCACCAGCAGAGGCAGAGAGGCAGGGAACGAGACCAGCCCTGTCTGCGCGTGCACCCTTCTGGCCTGCCCCCTGGAGCTGGCTGCCACGGACGCTCACAGAGCACTTCCTGTATGGAACGCCGGCCTCCTGCGAAGCCCGAGTCCCTGCCGCCTCGTGGGGACCCTGAAGGGCAGCGGCCAGGTGCTCCCTCCGTAGGATGCTCCCGGCAGTGCATCTGTCTCGGTGGGAGCAGATGGCCTCAGCTTTCTCTGGCAAAGTGCCTGGGGGCAATGCTTGGCCGTGGTGCTGCCAGGGCCTCATCATACTGTGCAGTTAGCTCTCTCGTCCCCACACTTGTTGTTTGAACCGTTGCTGTGGACGCCGGCTCGCGGCCCAGCAGACCTGTGCTCCCGGCTTCCTCAGGCTGATGTCTTCTCGGAGGGGCTCCCCAGGTGTTTCTTGGAGTCCACCTGTGGGTGCACCTGCCCCTCCAACCTTTAGGCTCAAAGCTGAGCTCGTGGAACCGCCATCACCCGGGGACTCCACCCCCACAGTCCAGGGGGGAAATTGCGGCAAGTGGAGACAGGACAGGTTCACAGCTCAACACTCGGGAGAGGCAGTGAGCACAAGGCGCTGCAGTGCTGGGTCAGTGGCGCACAGCTTGATGCTCCTGGGGACCAGTCTCCCCGGTCCAACTTCAGGACCCATAGAAAGATCTGTTTCTCATCATCCTCTCAGGGCCTTGTGGGCCCTTCTCCACCCCAGATCGGGGTTGGGGGGGGTCCCTCTGTGCAGATGTTGGTGTGCTTACAGTGCCAGGGTGTTCACACGCTGCCGGCACGGCCAGTTTGTGTGTGTGTGTGTGTACACACCGGACGGTTCGAGTGGGAAGAACAACTTTGGAGTGAAACAGGCCTGGGTAGATGATGGCTGCTTGCCATGACAGACCGTGGAAGGGGCCTGGCATGGAGCCTGTGCAGGGTGAGCATTCCGCACCCGAGTCCCTTGCGCTGGCACGCGTGCACATGTATGTCGGGCATGTTGCATCGCCTACCCTTAGCCTCGAGGCTCTTGACGTGACCAATGTGCTCTGTGGTTTTTGCGTGCATGGAAGGAGTTCCCACATAGGCAGGCTGTGTCCTGTGCCAGAGAACCCAGGCCAGGGAAGAGGTGAGGTAGGGCTGCCTATGGTGCCCTGCTGCCCACAGCGTGGTCACCAGAAGGTCTTTTGTATAGGTCGTCTTCATGTGGGTGAGCCCCCAGTGTAAGGATTTGCCCTCCTCACTGCCATTGAGTGAATTCTGTAAGTGCGTCACCCACTTAATGCCACCAGGGCTCCTGAGATAGGCCACGGAGGTCGTGATGTGTCCAGTTGTCCCCCAGCCAAGGCAAAGTGCCTGCGGCCACTTGAGCACTGGCAGCCCTCTCTTTGTGTCCATGTCGGTCCCCATGCCCCTGGGCTTCAGGCTGACCCCCTTCCTGTGTGTGACCCAGGAATGTGGAGCCCCAGAAGCACCCCTCACCCCCTACCCCCTCCCAGCACCACCCTGAGCTGAGCCTTTGAGAAGCAGGGTGGCATGCCCAGCATGGCCACCAGGGGACACTGCTGGGACACAAGGGCGCTTCAGAGGGTCATCCCTGTGAGACCAGATCCCTGGGTGGGGGTGGGGGGGGCGGTGATCCCAGCCGCTTCCTCCATGTGCTGCAAGCCTGTCTATGGATAGGCTGCCCGGGGCTGCCGTTCCGCTGACATCTCTGCCGTCCTCACCCAGCTGCTGTGCCCCAAGACTGCAGCCCCAGCCTGTGCAGGGAGGCCAGTGGGTGGCTGCAGGAGTCTCAGGGCTGAGCTGGTGTGTTCAAGGGAGAGGTGTGGCAGCCTGGTTCGTGCAGTGGGACATGGTATGGGTCCTTGTCCCTGTCAATGCTACAGTTCTCTCTGGTCCTAGAGCATCAGGGAACACCGAGTGGCCCTGTTAAAATAGGCTGGCTCCTGTGTGGCCTAAACTTGGTCCCTTTAACGTCATCCGCCCACTCCAGAGCCTCCCGCACCTTGCACCGACCATCTCTATGTTTGGTGCTGTTGGTACAGAGAGCGTCCTATTGGGAGAAACGTAGTTCCTTCCTGAGCTCTGACCTGGCTGTGTGGTAGGAACGTGGCCACGGGTGATGTGCTTGGCCTCTTTGAGACTCAGTTTTCCCATCTATAACCGGGGACAGTAGCACAGACTTCCCAGAAATGCCATGAGGCCAGAAGTTGGTGAGGGCTGGGCTCCGGGCATACACACAGGCTCTGCGGGCCTGCCCCGCCCTGGGAGATGAGTGTGTGTGCCTTTTCCTTCTTCTCTGCCGCACCCCATAGAAAGCACTTCCCACATGTTATGAATGTGCCCAGAAACCCGTCTCTTGGCACCAGCCCCACTACACCCGATGTAGCACCTTAGGCCAAAGCTTTAAAATACAGATAGACTTTCTGACCCTGCCTGTGTCCCACGCCAAGCCATCGGTTAGAGCCACAGGGCAGTTTGGCACGGTGGCACGTGCCAGGGTAAATAGGCATTGCCAGCCATGGGAGAGAAGCCAGGGCTGGCCGCCGAACGTCGGCTGCTGACAAGGAATCCCTCCTTTTCCTGGTTGCCCAAACATGAACACCTGCTGTGGACCCTGCAGATTCCCTCCCCTACCTACCTTCTGCAGCCCCCTGGGGCAGGGAAGTGGGGGCAGCCAGGTCAGGGTGAGGTGTTGTTTCCAAAAAGGTGCCCAGGGAGGTTCTGGAGGGTGGTGCTGCCTGGCTCCCTGCCCGCCCCTCCCAGCCTTCCCTTGGCCAAAGACGGTCAAGGCAACTGTCTACCAGCTGGGACTGTGTCTTGGAAAGAAAATGCCTCTTGAAGGGGTTCAGAGATGTTCCCTTTGGCAGCTCAGAGAATGTATCAGTCCTGCTGAGAGTCGCCAGTTGTTACACATCTACAGTTATACTGGACGGGGTCTCAGCAGGGGGCAGCTCCTCCCGGGCTGAGAAGCCTTACCTGGGGTCTCAGCCATGGAAGCGGGGCTCAAGGGCCTGGGAACAAAAGTCTATGGCTTGGGTCCCTCCCTGGGCCGGGGCTTCAGGGGACTCCCCAGTATGCATCGAGGACTTCTGGGAGGACCTGTGTGACTGGCCATCCCTGGGGTCAGCCCTCATGACTCATGCGGCCTGTCCTTGCTCTCTCAGACCCCGAGTCCCAGAGGAAGAGGACTGTGCAGAATGTCCTGGATCTCCGACAGAACCTGGAGGAGACCATGTCCAGCCTTCGAGGCTCCCAGGTGACTCACAGGTGAGTCGTGTCTCTCCCCCCCTGCCCACCCCTCCTCTCCACCCCTCCACAGAGCCAGCTGGGCAGCCTGGCCCAAGGAGCCACCCTTGCAGGGAGCGGAGAATTGAAACCAAAGTAGCTCAATGTGATCTTGCCGCCTTGGGCCGGAGGCTTCGCACACAGTGCGTGTAGGGGGTAGGAAGCGGAAGCCGTCAAGCAACCCGACATCTGGCCCTGGGTGCTCACGTCTCCTCATCTGTCAGAGGGTGTTTACCGGTCTCTGCTGGTCTCAGATTTCAGCACCTAGCACCGGTTCACTCCCATTAGACACCCACGAGTGGGCACAATAGCACCCATACCAGGCCCCCCAGATTCTGTGCTCTGGGTGTGCCCTCACTCACCCCTTGCAGATACCTCAGCCTTCCAGCTGCCTGGGGCACTCCCCCCTCCCGCACCCCTCCCCACCGGAGTCCTGGCCACAGCCTCTGTCGTGACTCAGAGTTCCCACCCCCCAACCCCCTCCTCGGCTGCCCAGATGAGCTCATGCTGTCAGCTCCAAGGGGGGACAGGGCTGGGCGCCACTCTGGGTACATTGGGAAATCACAGGGGGCGTGGAGCAGCAAGGCTGGGGGAAAGACAGGCAAGCTCCCCATTTGGACTAGAGCAGGGTTCCTCCCCATCTCCTGGGGTTGGGAAGTTGAGAGCCAAGTTGGGACACGGGGCAGTGTGGGGATTAGGGCGTTTCTTAGCCCAAGCAGTTACCCGACAAACTCTCTCCCGCCGGGCCTCCATCTGTGGTAGGGTTGTGGGGGGCTGTGAGGTAGGACTGGACGAAGCCTCCAGGAGCTTCCACTCACACGGACTTAGTTCTGCCCACTGTGCCTCCCTGCCCACAGCCCACCCCCCACCTTGGACGCCCAGCCCTTTGCTCTTGGCTTTTCAATGGGGACCGGGGGAGTCGAAGCCCCGGCTCTCCGGGGATGCCTCTGTTCCAGCCAGCAGGACCCTGACTCTAGAAAGGAAGGTGACTGAGGAGGTCTGAGGAAAAGTGGGCGGTGGTGGAGCGGCAGGAAGCCCCACTGCATCTGTCCACACCCACCCCTGCCCGGCAGCCCCCAGCAGTCACCCAGGGCGGGGGGCAGGAGCCCCATGATGAGATCCTGAAGTTCCTCCTTCCTGCCTAAGGGACGTTGTTGGTCCACACTCAGCACCGAGTTACCTGCCAGCCCCATGCCGAAGCAGCCAGAAAGTGCTGGGCTGCTGAGAGTCACACCCCAGGTGACGTACCCACAGGCCGGTGGCAGCAGTCCCGCCTCCCATGGGCAGCAGGGCAGGGTGACCCAGGTGGGGCGTCTGCTGGAGGTGCAGCCGGGCGTTTGGTGTACAGTTGACTGGGTCTGGGTCTGGGGGAGGTGAGTCTCAGGCCCCTGGCTTCGGTTTCCCTTGGTGGGAAAAGAACCAGGAGGCGGAGTGGCTTCTCCTGTTTACTGCGCACCACAGCCACTTCCTCTCTCGGCCTGTGGTTTCTATTATTCCGCTTCCACACTTGGGGAGCCAAAACAGTGCGCCCTGGCCTTTTATTGGCTCTTTGACTTTGCAAAGTACTCTCCCCCAGTCAGCTCTTCACTGAGCCTTGGGGCTGGGCAGGGTGCCTGCCTGCTTCCCACCCCTCGCCCAGTTGGAGGAGGAATGACGAGGCTGGGGAGAGGGAGTCAGTCACAGCGCAGTGTCCGGACAGATCCCGCTGTGCAGGCAGCAAGCTGAGCGCCCATGGTGACTCTGCGCCAGGACAGGGCTGGGCACCCGCCTCTCAGCAGACAGAGGCCCGACCCTGGAGGAACTGCAGCGCTGTGAGGGTGATTGACAACCGAGGCTCCACAGGCGAGCCCTAGATTCACTTCTCTTCAGAAACCTCCATTTCTGCTGGCCTGGTGCCCTCAGGAAGGGAGAAGGGGCTGGGTTGTCAGGGGCCTGAGCTAGTATTGACCCTCTGCCATGCCCCTGCCCTGGGCCCTCAGCTCTCCCCATTCCGAAAAAGGGCTTCGCCAGAAAGGGGCCCGGGTGGCAGGCTGTGGGCCAGGGCTGGCAGGTGAGAGTGGAAGTTCTGAGCTGAGTTCCTCCTCTGCCAACTCGGTGCGGGGGCTGGATGACCAGCCGCACCGCTGCTGAGTTTGGGACGCACAAGACAGTGTGGAGTCAGAGGCAGTTTAAAGCACAGAGAGCCAAGCAGAGGACAGGTATCAATAGAACCGAAGAACCTGGGCATTCCACCCCTAGCCTTCCCACGGTGGACTCTAACTTCCAGACCTGCTCTCCCGGAGGCCCCTGTCACCCCGGCAGCGTGGCCACATCATCCTCTGGTTCCTCTGGCTGCACTGTCAGCTTGTTTGCCCCAAGCACTGGCTGCACAAGCCCTATGCCTGGTGCCACCCTGCAGGGAAGCACGCCCATCGTGGGTTGGTTTGCTCCTTGCTGATTCATTCTTGAGCACTGGCTGCACCCCAGGCACTGTGCAAGGTGCCGAATCTCCACGGAGATCAAGGCAGCGGTCCTGCCAGGACCAGCCTGCCTTCAGGAGCCTTCCATTCTCTCCGAGAAGATGAGAGGCCTGGGACTACAGTGACTAGTGGCCACAGCAAGATGATGCCCAGCCCAGCATCCAGAGAAGAGCCCGCAGGGCTGTTGGGGACCCAAGGGAGAGGCAGGGCAGACCTGGGCCCAGGGAAGGAACCCTTAGGAAGGTGAGACGCAGTAGACGCTAATTGCCCTGCTGCCAGGACTCGTCCAGCTGGGGTTGGACTTCTGTAGAGATTGCCATTGTGCTAACGTAAGGTTCAAGAGCTATATGGCTCCCTCTAGATCTTCTGAGACGAAGCCCCGGTAGCACAGTGGTTAAAGTGTTCAGTTGCTAACCGAAAAGTCAGCAGTTCGACTCACCGCTGCTCTGTGGGAGAAAGAAGGGGCCATCGGCTTTGGGAAGAATGTCCACCTTGAGCACGCTGCGGGGTGGTTCGACTGCCCTCCAGGGCAGCCATGAATCGGAAGTGGCCTGAGAGCCGTGGGTTTGGGTTTTGTGGTCAGTTCTCTTGACCCACTGTCCCAAAAGGAAGCCCTGGGGCCCGAGTTCCCTGCAGACCACAGTGGAGGATTGTCTTTCTTCAAGGAAGCGAGAAATCAGGAAATGGATGTGTTTACGGAAAGAAGATGGCCTTGTACAACTCAAGTCCAGCCACAGGCTGACTTCTAGTTGGTGTTAGGTGCCACCAAGTTGGTTCCGCCTCCAAGCCGCCCTGTACCCTCCGCCAAAACGCTCCCCTGCCCTGCACCATCCTCGCAATCGATCTTCTGTCTGAGCTCACATTGCAGCCCGTGTGTCAATCCATCTTGTCGAGGGCCTTCCTCTTGACTGAGTATCGCGTCCTTCTCCAGGGACTCTCTTTGCTCAAAGTTGACGTCTCCCCATCTTTGCCTCTAAGGAGCATTCTGACTGTCCTTCTTCTAAAACCGATTTGTTTGTTCATTGCCGGCCTGTGGTGCTTTCAAAATTCATCACCAGCACCATCATTCAAACGCATCCATTCCTCTTCAGCCTTCCTTAGTCATTGTCCAACTTTCACACGCATCTGAAGTAATTGAAAACACCGTGGGCCAGGTGCACCTAAGTCCCTAACGTGACACCCTTGCTCTTCGATGCTTTAGAAGGGGCGTGTGCGGCAGATTCACCCTTCGCATTGCGTCGCTTGGTCTCTTCGCTGCTGCTTCCATGAGCATTAAGTACGGATACAAGCAAGATGAAATCATGGACAACTTCCCCCTTTTCTCTCTCTAGTCTTTCTGAGGCCAGCATGGACAGTTGGCCTAGTTGTGAGGATTGTGGTCTTCTTTTACATTGAGTTGTAATCCATACTGAAGGCTGAAAATCTTCGTCTTCACCAACAGGTGCTTCAAGTCCTCACTTGGAGCAAGAAAGAATGTTTCATCTGCATCCCGCAGGCTGCTAGTAAGCCTTCTTCCCATCTTGATTCCAAGTTCTTCTTCATAGAATCCAGCTTCTCTGTTTATTTGCTCAGTATACAGATTGAATAAGTATGATGAGAGGATACAACTTTGATTCCCACCTCTCCTGGTTTTAAACCCTTACTCTGTTAACTGCCTCTTGATCCATGTATAAATTCCTTACAAACACAATGAAGCGTCCTGGAATATCCATTCTTCTCAAGACTATCCATAGTCTGTTATGACGCACACAGTTGAATGCCTTTGTATAGTCAATAAAACACAAGTAAACATGTTTTTGGATTCTCTGCTTTCAGCCAAGATCCATCTGACATTAGCCATGATAGCCCTTGTTCCACGTCCTCTTCTGAATCCAGCCGGAACCTCTGGCAGTTCCCTGTCAATGGACTGCTGCAACTGTTGTTGAATGATCTTCAGCAGAATTTTGCTTGCATGTGATATCATGATAGTGTTCTATAATTTGCAGATTCTGTTGCATCCCCTTTCTTTGAAAGGGGTTCAAATATGGATCTCTTGCAGTCAGTTGGTGGCCATGGAGGTGTTTCCCACATTTCCTGGCATGCACAACTGAGTGCTTCCAGTGCTTCACCAGCTTGTTGGAACATTTCAGTGAGTGCTCCATCAATGCCTGGAGCCTTGTTTTTGGCTAGTGCTTTCAATGCAGCTTGAACTTCCTTCTTCAGTACTATTGGTTCTCGTTCATATGCTCCCTCCAGAAATGGTGGAATGCTGACTAGTTGTTTTTGCCACAATGACTCTGTGTATTCTTTCCTTCTTCTTTTGATGCTTCCTGCATCATTCTATATTTTGCCAATAGAATATTCCAGAATTGCTACTGGAGGCTCGAATTTTCTCTTGAGTCCTTTCATTTTTAGATAGGCTGAGCGAGTTCTTTTCTTTTTCTTTTTTTGGTATGATAAGTGGGGTTTATTTTATTTTATTTTTGTTTGTTTTTTTAATCCTTTTATTAGGGCCTCATACAACTCTTATCACAATCCGTACACACTTCAATTGTGTAATGTGCATTTGTACATTCATTGCCCTCATCATTCTCAAAACATTTCCTCCCCACTTAAGCCCCCGGCATTAGGTCCTCATTTTTCCCCTCCCTCCCCACTACCCCCTCCCTCATGAGCCCTTGATAATTTATAAATGGGT